CGCTTGTACCTTCCAATCTGCGTAATCGTTCTCTGGAAATAAGAAACGTTCGTGGCGCGAGACGAGGGGGAGGAGGGAGGAGAGAAGGAAACATGATTGAAAGTCGAAGGCGGACCGTCAGGCCTTAATGGACCCGCTCCAGGATGCACGAGGAAAAGGAGCAGTGCCTGATTTCTTGCTACATCCAGATATTACAACGACCGTTCCCCAATAACGCTTTTAACCCTTTCGCCACTATAGTCGCTCTCCATAAAGTGCCATTGACGTTCTATAGATGACTATAATCGCTCTCCATTAATATACCATAACCGACTATAGTCACTCTGCATAAGATGCCATTGATATGACTGACTATAGTCATTCTCCATAATGTGCCATTGACATCCTACAGGCGATTATGGTCTCCATTAATATACTATGACTGATTATAATCGCTCTCCATTAATATACTATGACTGATTATAGTCGCTCTCCATTAATATATTATAATCGACTATAGTTGTTCTGTATAATATGCTATTGATATACTGTAACTGACTATAGTCATTCTCCATAAAGTGCCATTGACGTGCTAAAGGAGACTATAGTCGCTCTCTATAAAATACCATTGATATACTATGACTGACTATAGTTGTCGCTTTTCATAAAATACCAATACCATTGATATACTATGGGCGACTATAATCGCTCTACATAAAATATCATTGACTGACTATACTATGACTGACTATAGTCGTTTTCCATAAAGTGCCATTGACGTCTTACAGGCGACTATAGTCACTTTCCATAAAATACCAATATCATTGATATACTATGGGCGACTATAATCGCTTTATATAGATCCCACTGATATACTATGGACAATTATAGTCCCTCTGCATATATACTATGGGCGACTATAATCGCTCTACATAAAATACCATTGATATACTATACTATGACTATAGTCATTTTCTATAAAATGCTATTGATGTCCTATAGTCACTCTCCATAAAATACCAATACCATTGATATCACTATGGACAACTATAATTGCTCTGCATATATACTATGGGCGACTATAATCTATATAAAATATCATTGATATTCTATAACTGACTATTATAGTCACTCTCCATAAAATACCAATACCATTGAAATATCATGGACGACTATAATCAGTCTGCACAAGATGCGTATAGTAGATATGATGAGCAATTGTATCTTCCTCTGGAAACATAGCATCAGTATTTTTATCACGAGATTGTTCATGAAAAATATTCCTCGCGTACGATTCAAGTAACGTTCGATTGTCAATGTATGATAAAAATCGCGAAAAAAAAAATGCTGACGATCTTTCTCGAGTACTGTTTAGCAGCGAAAGGGTTAATTATCGTTCTCGAAAAGGACGGAAACAAAGCTCGTCCTATTATCCTATTTTAAAATGTTTAATTTTCAAAAAGAGAAGCAATATATAATATATAATAATACTTATGCACGATCCTCGTCCTCGAGATACATCCCCCCCTTCGAATCGTTCTCCACCACGTCCAACCGTGGTCAAGCACGATAGTTCTGTTTCCAGGTACACCTGAGATCCCGGCTGATCATGAACGGCGTGTGCGTGATGTGGCGCGGATGGATCGATCTCGAGAGGTTGGACGGCGTCGGTTGTCTCGAGTATGACGAGAAACGCGCCGCCGAAGAGGACGCCCTACTCCGGGACCAGCTCGAGCGTTACAACCAACGCGTGCGCGATTTCGACGAGAAGCAACGGGCTTACAGGAGCTCGGCCGCACAGCCGCCACACTTGAACCACCATCACCACCACCATCATCACCACGGTCATCACGGCCACCACGTGACGGGGGCAGCGGC